GAGCCTTTAACCATCCGCTTGAGTATAAAGTGGGTCGCATCCTGGAAGACTGGGTGCATTGGCGATACTCGGACGTCTTGTGATTGACTTCCTATCGATCTATTCGCGGCACTCAGAATCGAGCACAAAAACATTCTATTTTGCAAAATAGTGGTTATTTTGCGCAATACATGGTCTAAAGTGCGCAAGTTTTGGAACTAGCCACAGTTTTTGATTGAAAGTTCCGTTGCACAACCAAGTACTCACTTTCTAATTGTCTTCAGACGGATTCGCTGGTACCATTCTTCACTACCGATGATTCTGAGATGGCGGTTGTCGAAGACTTACGGATGTCACAGTCCCGATGCTCAAAGCTGCAAAGTCTTACATTCATACAAAAAAGTCCCTAATGTAGCCTGACACACATTTTTTTACATCTTAGGATATGTAGCTTTGCAATCAGAGGTACTCTAAATTGACAGAGGCAACCCAAGCCTTAAACATTTGCGCATCGAAAATATACATCAAACCATAGTTGAAATAATGAGACGTCAAAGATATGTAAAACGCCGCGCAATTTCTCGTACCTCCCCTTAAATTGTACGTGGAGTATTCAGTGGCACTGCATCCACAAGCATCACCTCACATCTTGTGGATGCAAAGTGCAGGCCATGAAAAAAGACGAGTCTGGTCGGTCTCTTAAAAACCCGTACCTCCTGTTCGTCTTCCAAAATGATAAGGATATAGTCTGAGTATTCCGGATCAACAAGACTTACATCAACATCTATTTAAAAGTTGTAGTTTCATAAAAACTCCTGGCGTTCTTTGCTTTATCTGGCCGGTAACGAAAATGGATACAGATGGAGGGCGTCAGCAACCTTGTCGGATATTACTTTTTATAAGAGTGCTTAGGATTAGCTTTCAGTATACTCTTGCACGCTCAAAAGTCCGTAAATCCAAGGAACGTACCATACTGAGAGACTTTTGACATGTTTCTTACTACTCAAGCTTTTCAAAGTGAACAGGCTGGTCAAAAGCGTCCGAAAAATTCTAGAAATTCACTCCTATCATAACTGTGGATCATTTATTTAGACAGCATTGTTCTGGAACCAGAAGAAGTGTGAGAATTTAGTCACCGCAATTTCTATCGGGTCAAAACCTTCTTTAGTTTGCCAAGTTCAGTTTTTAGCAAGCACTATGAGGCGACAGCCTAAAAGTGGCTCCAAGGTTCTCCTCACTACTGGAGTCAGTCGAACACTTTTGTGATTGGTACATTCAGTTCCAGTATTCAAAACTGATACCGTTACAAAATCATTTCGCTTGTCTGAAACAGCTCCGTTTTCCAAAACAGAAATAAGCAGACCATACGTAATTTGACTGAGGTCCATGCTTCAATATTGAACGATACAGGTGTCAGATCATTTGGACCGGGAGCTCAGTGATGCCTAAAAGAAAAAAATTGGCGAAAAATTTTTGCTACGTAGAAGGTGCCAGATCGATTTCCAGGTTTAGACAATCTAATATAGTAAGAGAATGTGGCCAAAAACACCTCTGTTAAAGGTGACGGTGGTTAAAGGTCTTTTTTGTTAGAAACAATGTTCCAGTTTGGGCCTTTTTGGCTATTTTCATGGGCGGTTTTTGAGGAGTGGTTGCACGGGCATTATTTGCATTCTTATTATCATCATCCGCTTGCCTTATGATGAATGCCGTTTACCTTAGCATACTTGCTCTGTAAGGTACAGGAAAGTACGTAGCGTTTTCTTCTGGGAGACTAAATACCGACAAAATCATATTAACACTGCTCTTACAGTTCTATCATACAAACACAGGAAGTATTTTGAACGATAGTTCGTGTATATTCTGCCAGTACAGCCTCTTAGCCTTCCGGCACTAAGTTTGCAGCCACTAAGTTAGGTCGTTTTTGCACCAACACTACACGGTCTTTGCCCACATGAGCCGAACTATACAACAGAATAATAATTATCAAACCGCACTCGAACCGCTATTCCCAAGGGAGGTAAAATTCTGAACTTCATTTATCCCAATCAATCCAGCTATCCAAGTAACCAAGTGAGGAAGTTTCTGGTTAGCTAGCTGCACTAGCTAATCGTGACTCCATAAGTTCATAAACTAATCGGCCCAAAAAATCAAGGGGCTTGGGAACAAACATAAATGTTATGTTCTGTTTGTTTTTTCTTTAACGGGTTAAATGAGTGAACAACATACGAGAGTTTAGAGTAACGCGAGTTAATTTTGAGGGGGCGTGTTCTAGCGCTCACCTCCGGCGGCTTAGAATAAGTATTTTCACAGAATGCTTCTTGGTAGCATGTTTTTGGTTTGTAAGTTGTCCAGCTCACTTGACTCGGAATGCATATTCCAAACCTGTCGTCACGTTTTGAATTCATCAGGAGAGGCTCACGAGCGTAACTAAATGGTGTGCTTGTCTTCATTTCATCACGGAATCGTTTCCGTACACCTTTATCACGATCACTGCAAAGTGACATATAGGTTGTCCTGAAAGAGGTCTTTACGGTACTTAGGAGGAAAAAATTAACATACCCCATCGTGCTTCTTATACCGTGCATAAATAGAGTTGGAAAGTGAATCATTGTTGTCCTTGCACCAATCAGAGGGCTTAATTACTGGTTGCTCCTCAGGTAGCCTACGTCAAAGACTGCTCATCTATGCATGCATCCTACCAGTCACGCTTTTTTAATACACGGGAACGGAGTCCAATCTCACCGTTTGAAGAATAAACACCCAGCGTAGGTAACATAATACTGCGTTTACCTAGAGCGTTGGCGCATTATAACAAGGTGAAAACCACGGAGTGAAACTGATCTGCACATTCTCCAGGCTTTTTGAGGTTGGAATAAACTACAGTATATATGTGAAGGAGCGCCACTTAACAGGTTTTCCGAATATTCTTTCATTCAAGATACCGGGTACTTAATGACGGATTCACGGATGTGTGATGTCGCGTTTGTACACAAACATACTATCTTTTTTCGTCTGTTGAAGTTCCTGCTCTGTTTTGGCAGGCAAGTTCGTAACGGAGGGCCATAGTCTACACAGGTCAGTTGCTGGTGCCAAAATATTCCTCTTACTCGTTTTGACGTCAAGGACTATCTATGCATGCATCCTACCAGTCACGCTTTTTTAATACACGGGAACGGAGTCCAATCTCACCGTTTGAAGAATAAACACCCAGCGTAGGTAACATAATACTGCGTTTACCTAGAGCGTTGGCGCATTATAACAAGGTGAAAACCACGGAGTGAAACTGATCTGCACATTCTCCAGGCTTTTTGAGGTTGGAATAAACTACAGTATATATGTGAAGGAGCGCCACTTGGCACGTTTTCCGAATATTCTTTCATTCAAGATACCGAGTACTTAATGACGGATTCACGGATGTGTGATGTAGCGTTTGTACACAAACATCCTATCTTTTTTCGCCTGTTAAAGTTCCTGCTCTGCTTGGGCAGGCAAGTTCGTAACGGAGGGCCATAGTCGACACAGGTCAGTTGCTGGTGCCAAAATTTTCCTCTTACTCGTTTTGACGCTTTTTGTTGTGGATTTCTGAAGCCCTCTTTTTCGCTATTGATGTTCAATTTGCCTGTATAAAGCAATGGGGTTAATCTCGTGTTCTTCCAGGATTGCATTCAATATTCCGAGCTGGTTACCTCAGTGATAGCTGTTTTAGAGGATTGCTCGAACAGGCGTTTGTGTTCTATTGTGTTGGCCTGTGGTGTCTTCTACTTTTCTTTCTCATCTGTCGTAACTCAACGTGTTCCGTCAATGGTGTAGAAGAGAGCTTGCCAACAATGTGCTCCCGTTTCCAATCC